AGGTGTTCAAATGGCCATGCCCAATCCACGAACGGGGAGCTGCTGCGCTCGCTGCACCGCCTCGCGGGGGACATGTCAGTGGCCATCGAGACGCCAGCCCCATTCCTGCGCGGCGCGCTCGTGTCCATCACCAGACGGTCCAAGCTCTGGTCGCCGCGTTCGACAACCTGGCCTTGTTCGTCGCTGCTGGGGACATGCCGTGGTCCGCGTCGCTGTGCCCGCGCAATACAAGAAATTGAGCGGGAGATCGTGCCGGAGCGGGAAAGGCTGCAGGAGATCCTGGAGGAGGTGGGCATCAACGACCCGACGACCTGCAGCGAAGAGATTGAGAGCCTCGAGCGTGAAATCGGTGACCGCGTCTCGCAGAGGTGGGCGGACGCCAGGACACTGACGGGGCGAGGGCCAGGAGGCGACGCTCGACCTCCATCCAAGCGGCGTGAGATTCATCGCGTCACGGCCCGTCCACCGCGGGCGGCGCGGGCGAGCTCAACACGAGGAAGGACGGCAACGAGAGCGGCGGCGTGGAGCCGCGACGCAAGGACCACAGCGAGCGGTAGAGGGATTGGGAGAGAGGGAGGGGGTTATTTTGGACATCTTGACTGGCTAGATCCACGTGTCTGGGCTAGCAAACGGCAAAGATGTAACGAAAGATGGACGGAATGACGTGGACGACAAATAAATTTAGATAAGTGGTATATGTGACCGCTTAAATTTTTTAATGGTTTATAGATAATTGCCGATTTTTATAATGGTACACGTGTAAAAGCCTGCTCATTCTCTCCCCTCCCGTTCTCAGATCCGTGTGCTGGCCTGCCCGTTGTGACGTCCTTTACTCGAAGGCTCGACGATGAGTGGGGGCGGAGATCGGAGATCGGGGAGGAGGCGGCGTCCACGTGGCGGCGGATCTCAGCCATGTGGCAACGGCCTCGAGCGCGTCGACGGCCGTTGGAGTGGTTCTGCTGACCAAGGTACCCTAGCGCCCGACCTCCTCTCCTCCTGCAAGCGATGGCAGCGGTGGATATGGCGTACGCGCGAGGCGGGTTTTTGTTCCTACGGCACAGGATCTGCATCTGATCTCTTCCAGTAGCGTCAAGAGCGTAGAAAAAGGTACGATCTGCATCACTTACCATTTGTGATCTGTTATGTGATGATGCATTCCATCATGTCATTTTGTTCCTGTGGCATTCCATCATGTCTTGCATTGGATTGGATTGACCTGGTGAGAGATGAGAGATGCCTACCAAGGTGCTCCACATCACCACCATGAAGCTTTGGCTGGCAAGCACCAAGGGTATGGAGCTCAAGATCAAGCATCCTGACTTTATTACTGAACTGAGGTATAAGGGAATTTCTTTTGCTGTGTGATTGGGGTTATTTGAGATTGAGAATTGTTGATCAAGCAAATTGTACTATATTAAATGTATTTGGGTTATCTGGGAATTTTTTTTCAAAGCAAAAGGGGCAGTATGATGATACTGACTATTGGATCTACCATGCTATGCTGCCATTGTCTTTTTGGTGTCTATTGTTTTGTCTCTAATACTTCTGTGTTTTTTCACGTTTTCAGATCTGTCTGACTCAAAGTTGCTAGATGCTAAACTATTTGTTTTTACTGCTATTTTGACCCAAATGCGAGAAAATGATTGAGAATTTGGTTATGTTTATTATGCTTAGGTGATTTGTCAGGTTCAGGAATTGGATACTTCTGGCACCTCGAGGCTTGCTTCTCTGTTGACTACTAGTGCAGGTTGGTCTAGATAAAGGTTCACATGGAAAAAACATTGACTTTGGAAAACAGGTCTGTATTTGGCAATAGCATGACCCTGCAGATTATGTTACAAGCTTATGTATAGTTTTGTCGGAAATTTCGGTTGCATGGTGAATATTGCTATTTCAGCTAATACCATTACTGCCTTGCTTTTAATTATTCGTACACAAATGTACCCTTCTAATTTTTTTATCCATAAGTCCATAAGAGAAACAAAACAATCTTATCATAGGTCTAAACTGTTCCAAAAACAACTTTAACTTGCTATGGAGTTTGGGAGACCTGATTCTGTTAAATGCATCCAGGCATTTGGTGATCCTATGGGGATGCTCAGGTAAGACATTTCTTCATTATTTAAAAAATACATCCATTTTGAAAATTTTAAGTTCACTGCTCATGCAACTATATGTCACACACATTTATATCTAAGGGATACAATGATGCATAGAAAACTGAATTGTGCCTGTTGCGTTGCGTGCAAGGATTATCCTAGATACCTGAATATATACGTGGAGATGAGCCCAGCTGGGTAACACGATAATTGGTGAATAGGTTTTTTGTTGCTGGAACACAGTAAAGATTCATTATTTTAGTTGTTACTTCGATTGAAATATTGTTGTTATCTTTCTGTCACCATTTATTTAAGATTGAATGACAGCAATTGAACCTTACATATGAGCACAACTTATTTTTTCTTATGAGTATAACTGCTGCATCATACTACTATGTCTTATTCTAGAATTGCATGAGTGCATGTTACCAGGTTTTTACATTTATTACCTCCTACCGTTATCTGCTTTTTCTTCTGAACTAGAAATTGGTTTTGGTTCCTCAAAGAAGTGAGTGCCCTATGTCGGCGAAACTTTATGAAGGACGGCAGTGGCATTGCCTTTGTGATGAGGTACTCAAATGCCCTTTTGTTCTTGCAGGTTTTGCTTGGGCTCAATGGATTAATCATAATAAGATGGCGATAGAGCATACCTTCCCCAATCTAACTGATGTAATCTATGCTGGTGTGCATCTCTTGTAGAAATAGTGCCCCTTACTGCACACAAAACACCAAGTGAAGCTGGAGGTGTTCACGGAGAAAGTGCTGAGTTGGTTGCATGATTTCAATCCAACGACACCAACTCCATTTGGTCTGTACGAAATGATGCAATTTTCAGGCAAATCCAACCATCCCTACAGCATGGCAAGTGGCATAGGGGTGGATTTTGCTCAAGTTATTCTTAGAGCAAAGAATATTTATATGAACCACAAATTAGTCTATGGCTAGAAGTTTATGTATAATCCTCCTGATCTTTGTAACTTTCTTTGTTTCATAAGCCTGTTGTAAGACTCTTTTGTTTGCAATAAAAGCCCAGTAGGGGATCCACCTCCTGTTTTTCCCCAAAAAAAAAAAAAATCCAATCTGATGAGTTTGGTAGTCGTGCTTAATCTTGTTATGTTCGTTAGCTACTCCCACGACTTGTGTGGTGTTCTGGTATCCCCAGAGGGATTTGTTTTATAATCTGGTAACACTACAGGTTAAACCTTAATTGCTTTCAATATAAGCATAGGAAATCTCAGCTCAACATAAAAAGGTGTACAAATATGCTCGATAGGGCGCGCGAAGCGCGCTTCATATTCTAGTGATATTTACCACTAGGCCGATTCTCAAACCAGATAGGCTGGTTTTGGCAGAATCGTGCCATCTCAATTCATTTATGATCCGAGCGTTCTAACTTTTTATCACCTGTGACTGATCTTTGTGTCAACATATGGAAATTTGTATTACTTGTGGCCATTTATACATGAACAGATACATCTGCTAAGATTACAACCCGTAATCCACGTGTCGATCAGGTAACGTCACCGAAGCCCAAAGTTTTTTTTTAAACCTTAAGCCCGAAGGTTTGCGCGACGCACAACAAAACGTTTCGCTTCCCTTTCATCTGAAAAGAAAACGTTTAGCTGTTGTAGAGATTGCCATTTCTAGAGAGAGCAAACTGAAGTTGAACGGCGGCGGAAGTGTTTCACTTTCTGTTCGCTGGTTGGTGCTGGTGCTGGTTTGGTCTGGCTGGTGCTGGTTTTTTTTAAAAAAAACACTGTTGACTGGCTGGTTTGGGCTGACTGAAACCAACGAGCGAACAGGCTGTTGTAGCTACTTGTGCGGTTGTGCTGGTCTTGGGCCTCTTGGCTTACTGCTGGTCATAATACAGCCACGTCTGACGTCTGTCGGAGAGGTGAAAGAGAAAATGAAGTCACCTGTGGCGAACCGGCGATCCCAAACGGCTATCGACTTGCCGTCAAGATGAGGGCGCGCTCGGGGCGTCAAACTTCAACGACGAGGGTGGATGCTCGGGGGCTGTTCGATGGAATGCCCGACCGGCACCAAATACTACGACTCACTGACGGACCACTTCAGGCTGCTGTCGGAGGAGAAGACCAAAGCGCATGCGCATGCCAAGAAGGCAAGAACCAAGGAGAAGATGCAGCCGTTCAGGACTCCGCCAGGTATGTACCATTGTGCCTGTCCATTCCACCCCGTGCCTCCTTCATCGCTGTTATACTGCTAATGACGTTTTACCGGTCATGATCGTATCTACTCCTAGTTCCAAGGATCAACAATTCAGTACTAACTTGTCATACTATTCTCCACTCCCTTGTTTTTTTTGGCTCTACGCTCTAAAGCCAACGTGCTTTGGATGTAAAGGTGCTCGAGTATCGCCCATGCATGGTATGAACAAAGGTTTCAACTCATGAAGAATCCATGTCAGCAGTAAACGCTCTGAGGTGTACAAATACCATAAATGATTATATGACAGAAAGGCAAACGAACAAATGGTTCCGTAGGTAAGAAAGGACATATTCGCAATGCATATCCAAATGTTTAACAGGGCAGCATTCCCACTATGCAATCCCTTGGACTTTGGAAGACCGTTTCTGTCAAAGTATTAGCCAATTGCAATTTATTACCAGCATAAGGTAAAAATAATAAGTACATAATTAGTTCAGAGCATTGATACATAAAATTTTCAAACCTCTGCTTATACTAGCAAACTTCTTAGGTCTTAGTTGCTGTCATATGACTCAGAAGGTTTCCATGTGGATATTGCTTTCAGTATCCTTCCCTTCCATCCCAGCAGTAGCCACTGATCATCTTCGTTGATTATATAATCTTTGTGATATTGCCCCACCATATCTCTTATTACTTTCACAATGTCCGGATTCAGTGGTAGCTTCAGACCCTTCACATGCAACGGCATTGAGAATTGCACACAGATAGAAATGCCTCTAAGATCATTCTTGCCTCATTGTCTCGTGGAACAGTTGTATCAAGGATATCAAATAATGCCGAGTAGTGGTGCATGACTTCTCTAAAACGTGGTAAAAAGAAGGGGTTACTATATGATCCATTCACTACTCCATGCACAAAAACTTTTGGCTTCATCATTCTGATGGTCTTGAGCACCCTGTTCCTGGCACTGTTAAGGTATACTGTCTCATCAACAAGGTTCTTCATTCGGAACAGGCAGTTGACTATCAGCACGTCATCTTCCTCGATGTTGAGATCCTCTATACGGATGATTTCCCATTTCGATGATATTCCTTTGTATTCAAAAGGCACATTGAACATGCTAGCATAATCAGCTAATAGCTGCCCTGCGTTATTATTCATTTGATTTGGTCGAAATCCTGGCTGGGGTAGCTCAATACCTGTGATCCGAACCTTAGGAGGCCCATCTTCCCTCCTTGTGAGTTGCTCAAACAGTGTTGGCCATTGAAAGCCAAGGCAAATGCCAAAGTCGATAATGTGCACCTTTGGTTTTCCCTTTGAGACATCAAGGATTGTCTTATTTGAAAAATAGTATGGTGCCCGCATGAAAGGAATTACTGCTAAACCCAATTGATATACCTTTAAAATGTCCACAGCATTGCAGCTTTCAGTCATCAACTTGTGATACAGCTGCCCCCCAGTTCCAGCTAATCGTACTTGAAGGCAGTCAACTAGGCAAGATGCTAGCCTCTGGGTATCATCTCCGCTTACTGAGGAATGCTGTCTTATGATGTTCAGTTTATCACTTGCTAAGGTATAGTTATTCACAGATACTGCTTCTGCACAATGGATAAGAAGGGTTCTTAGATCCACCACCTCTTTCTTATGTTGCTTCTCAACTTGTGTCTTCTGACAAACTGATGTTCTTCCATGAACATTCTTTGAATTTCTGGTTGATTTGTTTGACATCATTTGAAGGGTGGGCCTGGTGCAAGCGGTAGAGTCTTACCGCATGTGACCGGAAGGTCCCGGATTCAAGTCGTAGTCTCCTCGTATTGCACAGGCGAAGGTAAGGCTTGCCACTGACACCCTTCCCCAAACCCCGCACAGAGCGGGAGCTCTCTGCACTGGGTACGCCTTTTTTTTTGTCGTCATTTCTCGCAAAACAATGCCTTCATCCGTAAGCTTATGCTCAGAGAAGGGTAGGACCATGTCAAACATCTCATCCGTAAGTCAAATCTTACAAGTATTTAAAAGGTAAAACTAATTTTGTTAGATTTCTATAAATTGGATCTGTACGATATAAATGATAAAGATCATGAAACGGCCCGATTTTATATTTTCTATATGTAATTATATTTGTAGAATTTTCATCTAAGTCGCAAAGCCATGTTGCGTTGCCGTAAGCGTGCAGAAACGGATGGCGTCGTCATTCCATTTGGCATATAAAACCAGAAAAAGTTCAATTTACCTCTATTAAAGTCGCCATCGACCATCCCTAAAAAACATTGTCGCTATTGTCCGATTTTCCTCCGTGAATTACAAGACCAATTTTTCGATCTCCCTCAATTTTTAAAATATTTGTTTTTGCATTTTGAATCATTTTGCTGATATGGCGCCACGTCAGAACTCAAAAGGGATAAATCATGCTAAGCTAAAAAATTTAGGGAGGTCAAATAGATCATAAATACTTTAAAAAATATCAGAAAACTTAAAAATAATTTTTAAAAAAACTATCCAAATATTATTACAGGAATGATGTCACTATTTGTTTATTGCAACGCACCGGACATTTATCTAGTATAAGCTAGTAAACTTAGTCGAAAAGCATTAATAATTGCCGAAGCACCTAACCAAGGAGAAGTTTATGGGCCTGTTCGCTGGTTGGGGCTGGTGCTGGTTTGGGCTGGCTAGTGCTGGTTTTTTGTGAGAGGAAAACACTGTTGGCTGGCTGGTTTGAGCTGGCTGAAACCAACAAGCGAACACGCCGTATCTCTTCTTTTAGTTGGAAGTTGGAACTGGGCTCCGAGACTCCTTACATATTTACCAAGGGAACGCGTGACAACCCCCCCTCTAAATCTGAAACACAAATCTGATGTTTGTTGACTTTTCTTGTATTTTTCAATAAAAAATCCCGAGGCTCTGAACTAGGAGTCTGAATATCTCTAGCTATTCTCAAACTTCATTTCGTAGTTGAATATTTTGGAAACCTTAGACCAGTGATTCCAAGTAGTTCCACTCGTGAGCTCAAAAGTTTAACGATAATCAGCCTGTTTATTTGACTGTGGCTTGTCGTAAACGATCGTAAATTTCCAGCCAAAACATTATTTTTCTCTCATACAAACCAACCAGCAGTACTTCTTCACGAACCAGCAACGACAGGCTTAATGATTGGATATGGGCGACCGTCCTGTTTGGACGCGCTTCCCTGGGCCTGCGGAGCTACACGGCCTGCTCCCCCTCATGGCCCATCTAATGAACGGACACATTTCTCTTCCTCCCAGACGACCCCGCTCCTCTCCATCGTGTGCGTCGCTCACTCCCTCCGTGGCCGGCCGTGGCCCACTCCTCTCCGTCGCGTGCGCCGCCAGCTCCCTCTCTGGGCGGTGGCGGCGCCCTCACCCACCATGGTGTCCTCCTACCCCCACCGCGGCATCCCCCTCCCATACCCCGGCGGTGCCTTCTCCCACACTAGCGGCTTCTTCACGCACCTCGGCACCCTCCTCTCTCTATCCCGGCGACTCCTTCCCCCACCCCGGCATCCTCCTCCCCCACCCTGGCGGCACCCCTCCCCCGACACCGGCGTCCTCCCCCACAGGGAGCTCCCAACGCCGTCAGATCCGGCGGCCATGGCGCTCCCCGCGCTAGGCTCTCTCTCCCCCTGTGTTGCAATTGTATGTTTCAATTGGTTCAGACGTTTTAGAGGTATATTGCAGTTGAATCATATGGATGTTGCAAAAGTAGATCGGGGGATGTTGCAGGCATTTGTTTAAAATGTTTTACCTGTTTCTAAAAGTATGTTGCAATCGTTCTGATCTGGATGTTTCATATGCTTCACACAAATGTTGCAATAATATGTTTCCAAATATTTTAGCTGCTTCAGTCTTATGTTGCACCAGTTATTTCATGTTGTTGCGAGTGTTTTTATTCGAGCGTTTTATGTTGTTCGGTCAAAGGCGAGTCGGGGGGCTGGCGGACGGGGGCGCGTGGCTCATGGGGGGTGCTAGCGGGTGGAGGCGCTGGGGGCCGGCAGACGGGGGTGCTGCGGTCAAGGGGCGCTAGGGCGTGCTCGTCGCGCGTGTGCGGTGGACGTGGCGGGCTGCGGGGCGAGCTAGGGGCTCGCGGCTCACCGAAGGGCTAGCGGACTGGGCCGAGGCCGCGCTGGGGGCGTGCGCGTGGGGCGGGGACGAAAGCGAACGCGGGGGTTGAGCACTCGAGCGGGCGTCCAGACGCGCGTGGTGCGCCGGATGTCCGGGCGTTAGATTAGCCGAAAGTTTAAACTGCAAATAGGAATTTTGATTAAACTCCAGCATGCCTGTGCTTCGATTGGATGGCAATGGTTGCTTTATTTATCCTGATAATGGGTCTGGCGGTCTCCGGCGTGGCGATGACGATGCGATCTCGGTTGGAAGTGGAGCAGGAGGGTTTGCAGGAGCAGTTGGCATGGGCGCAGGTACTCGCCGACTCGCCGACTCGTGCCAGCCAACTGACGCCACGCAGCTGCTGACCCTGACGGCCTGATGTGGCTCCATTCGAGAGAAGTTTCCACGGAGACTCGCTGCATACTGTTTCCATACAATTTTTTCCCGCCGCTGATTCGTTTCTCTTCCCCACCCCAGCTGGCCGCTGGCGTGTCAGTTGGTTGTTGCCGTTCGGAAAAGGTAGCGGCTGCGGCGTGATATCAGCCAACGGCACTCACGGGGAGCGGTGGCGACTGGCGACCCATATCCATCACTGGCTGTCTGCGCCTGCGCGAGCGAAGAGACCTCGGAAGCGAGTGGTCCGCCGCCGCTGGGAGCGTTCGGCGATACATGGGGTGGGCGCTGGCTCTGCACGGCGGCGCCGGGGACGTGCCGCGCACGCTGCCGCCCGAGAACAGGGAGCCGCGCCTCGCCACGCTCCGCCGCTGCCTCGACATCGGCACCGCCGCGCTCCGGGAGGGCCGCACCGCGCTCGACGTCGTCGAGCTCGTCGTACGCCCTCCTCTACTCGTCTCTTCTCCGATCCCTCTGTCTGTCTGGTGCCAGCAGCCCCGGGCGATATTATTGATCCCATACATGGCCAGGTGAGGGAGCTGGAGGACTGCCCGCACTTCAACGACGGCCAGGGCTCCGTGCTCACCTCCGATGGCACCGTCGAGATGGAGGCCTGCGTCATGGAGGGCGCCACCCTGCGCTGCGGCGCCGTCTCTGGACTCTCCACCCCAGGCTCGTCATGGAGAAGACGCCGCACATCTACCTCGCCTTCGACGGCGCCGAGGCCTTCGCCAGGGAACAGATTCCATACTCCTAATCACTTCCCCTGTTTTGTTCCAATCCAAGTTACAGAAATCAGAATCGGTGCCTAATCCTGTTTTCCGCGCTTCATCGACTCTCTGTTCGGCTTCGTTTCATTTTTGTTCTCAATCTGCTACTGTCAGCATTAGGTGTCCTTGTTCTGGCATGAATTCAGGACCCAAAGAAAGAACAGTAAAAATGATGAGAAAAGATTAGACTTTTGATACCAGATTATACCTGAGTACCTGACATTGATGTTTGCTCACTCTTTCTTCCAATGACAGACGATGACGACACGTCATCTAGTATATTCCTGATGAAGAAAGATTGAAGAGCTCTACTAGTTGTTTACAGATTACACGCTTCTGATCTGATTGGTTAGTGGTGACTTGTCAGGGGGTCGAGACTAAGGATCCAAGCCACTTTATCACGGACCACAACATCGAGCGGCTGAGACGCGAAAGAGGCCAACAGGGTGCAGGTAACGTCAGATATTTTCTGTCCCCTTTGTTCAATTTTGGCGTGGCACATTCAGGATCTTGCATGATTCGGTATCCTGCTAATCCGTTGTAAGTGAATAAGGGGATCGCATAGTTTTATTTTTGGCGAAATAATTGATTCACGTCTAATCTTGTCTTGCACATGATTGTGTTTGCAAATGACAGACAAACCTATTACCTATGGGCTTTGAACCATGCATGTGTGTTTGCAGCAAGATAGGCAAACATATGTAGCTTCAGTTGTTTTGTTACCAATGTATAAAAATATACTCAAGAATCTGATTTACTGCCTGGCATAGGAGTCGTTATGATACACAGCTTTTACTACATTTCTAGATACATTACTATCGATTTACAGCCTGGCATAGTTCGTCCTCAAGAATCTGTACAAGATGGAGATATATGCTTTCACAGTTCAATAATTGTTTTTTTTTAAACACAGTTCAAGAATTGGTTTTATGCAGCTGGACTTTTCTTTTCTTGCTTGTCAGATCGACTACACCCAGCCAATGAAAGGGCAAAACACCCAGGCCCCGGCGGACGACAACAGCCAGACCGGCACGGTAGGGTGCGTGGCCGTCGACGCCGCGGGCAACCTCGCGACGGCGACGTCCACGGGCGGGCTGGTGAACAAGATGCCCGGCCGGATCGGCGACACGCCCCTGGTGGGCGCCGGCACGTACGCCAACGCGCTCTGCGCGGTGTCTGCCACGGGCAAGGGCGAGGAGATCATCCGCCACACGGTGTCGCGCGACGTCGCGGCGCTGATGGAGCACGGGGGTGACGCCCTCCCGCTGCGCGACGCCGCGGCGCGCGTCGTGGCGGGGGCGCCCCGCGGCACCGTGGGGCTGGTGGCCGTGTCGCGCCAGGGCGACGTCTGCACGGCGCACAACACCACCGCCATGTTCAGGGCGTGCGCCACCGAGGCCGGCCACACAGAGGTTGGTATCTGGACGGACGCCGACGCCGACGCCGATGGAGAGACTGTCAGCGTCGCGCTCTTCCCCGTGTGGCGTACGCGTATTCTACTGTCCGCGTTCCATTATTGCCCCCCCTGTCCGGCAAACAACTTGTTCTCGGTTAATTTCACCAAACTTCAGCTTTGTGTGTTTGGAAAACTTGATTTGGTTTCGGGCATTGTTAAGAGATCTATGGGAGGAAAATTCTGAAATGATGATGACGTGAAACATTGTTGGGCGTTCATTAGAGAAAAGTTCATTTCAGTATGGTTTCTTAATACCTTTTGTTTTCGTGAACAATGAAGATTGTGGTACCCAAATTATCTCAACAAAGCTTATAAAAACACAAAAGTAATATTTTCATGTGTACCAGTACCATCACTTGAGGTGTATTTTTCACATACAACGTCGACATCTGCCAATTATATGTAGTACCACTACAAAACCCACATGTTAATGTGTTGTTGATTAGCTTGGTGGTATAGGTGGCAAGTGCCCTTAAAACAATTGTATGGATAAAACTAGAGAAAAGAAGAAAAAAAAGCAGGACTTGGAGTTGTTACTTAAGCTCTGATTGATTCCTCATCCTCGCGTTGTATTGCATTATATTAGGGGTTATGCAGCGTACCCCTTAATCTGCATAAGGCTATGCAATTAGTTGTTTGTTTGGTTCATCTGAATAGAAGGTTGAACAATGTTATGCACTTGATTGGTTTCCTACATAAGTGGTCAAACTGTGTCTTGGGGTTGAAGAGCGGGTGAAGGAGGAAGGATGTATAGCTAGATATGCAAGATATGGCCAAATCATGAGATGCAACTATGCAAGCTGGGGTTACTTTGAAGACAGTGTTAGTCTACATATAAACTTGTGCAGGTACGTAAACAAGGACGGATTGCACTATGGAGGCTTGGATAAGAAGTTGTGTAGGCAACCAATTAGAATCTTATTTCAGGACAGCCTATATGTGATTGAAAAGCCAAACCTAGATTAAGTTGAAGCAAAAGTGAACCTTATTAAGAACTTCAGTAGGACTTGGCTAAATAGTGCCAGCTAATAATTTTCATTAGCTAAATAGTCCATTTTGAGCTATTAGTCGGGTTATTACTAGTTCATAAAGTTGAGAGATACTATTTAGATGGGTGTTTAAATGCATTAGAACTAATTTTAGTGGCTAACTATTAGCTCATGGATCCAAACATTTTTATAGTACTATAAACCCACATATTACCGACTAGTTTGGTTGTATATATTACAAGTAGTTTTTTTTTTGAGAGAGATGACAAGTAATTTTAAAGTAGTGGTATGGATAAAACAAGAGAAAGGAAGAAAAAGAAAACACATAGCTTAGAGTTGCTACGTAAGTCCACGGAGCCCAAATTCAAATTTCTCTATTTACTGATCCTCTTGCTTGTAGGTGAGGTTTTTTTGCGCTCCTCTAGGCTCTAGTTTTGTATTTTTGGTTTGAGCACATTGCAAGTGAAGAGGCTGCTCGGCTGCACTTGCAGCCCTGCGGCTGTGGCTTATTACTGTAGCATGAACTAGAAATAGTTCACGCTAACCGCAGGGCTGCAAGCAGTGCTGCCGAGCAAGCTGAAAGTCTAGATAAAGTTGCTTATACAATTTAGAGTCTCTTTACCACGGTTTGGGTTTCTCAAAAAACGGTGAAGCCAGGAGAAGCCATGTTTTGGTGGGCTTCACCATTTTACCTTGGTTTTAGTATAAGAAGTCATTCTTGTATGTGCTCATTTAGTAGAACTTTTGATTAAACCTGTGAATAAGTGTAACAAAAGCCATAAAAAAAGACCTCATCCCTAACCATAAACCAAACAATTAACTTTAGTAATACGATAATAATACCCACAGGGCATCTGTCCTTTTTTGGACGGGACCGACCCACCTGCCCCCGTGCCCCATGTCGCGCCCCCCCATGCCTCACGCATCGCGCCTCCCGCCGTAGTCGCGATCCATCTGCCTGTCGACCGTGGACGACCTCAAGGCCCGCACCGGTGTCGAGCTCCGTGTCAACAAGCCTCTATTGGGGCAGCAAGTAGATGAGCACATGTTGCAACTGTATGTTTCATGCGTTTCAGGTGTATGTTGCATATGTTTCATCCGGATGTTGCAAAAGTAGATCTGGTGTTGCATATGTTGCAATAGTTGTACACGTATGTTACAAGTGTATGTTTTAAATGTTTCAGCTGTTTCAAACGTATGTTGCAACTGTTTTATATGGATGTTGCATATGTTACAAGGGCTATACACGTATGTTGCAAGTGTATGTTTTAGCTGTTTCAAATGTATGTTGCAAGTGTTTTATCTGGATGTTGCATATGTTGTAGTGGTCATACAAGCGTGTGTTAAACATGTTTCATATGTTTCGAACATATGTTGCAGCAAATGCTTCATGTTCTAAGTGTTGCATGAACAGGCGCGGTAAATGGGCGTAGGCGGAGGTGGTCCCCTCGGGCATAGTAGTCCCCACGTGTGCGCGGGAAGCGAAGCGGGCGCGGCGGCCTCCACATGCATGCGTACCGCAACAGCAGGCAGCACCGGCTATAGCAGCATCGTGCAGGCAGGTGTGGTAGCAGCAGCGCATGGCCAGGCGCAACAACAGCGTGTGGGTAGGAAGGCATGAGCTACATGCATACACGTGGACGGGCAATGTGTCCGAACATCCGAGCGCTAGTCTTTTCCTCAGTTATAGGGTTAGTTATAGGACCAAAGAAGTAGCCATAAAACTAGACACTGAGCTTGCTCGGTTGGCTGAGGAAACTAGACGGCCGTTTGATTTGTCAGCATTATGGAAAAAAAGCTTTTGGAACGATGTGTTCCCAAAACAGCCAAAAAAAAAAAACCATGACACTAAACAAGAAGATTTGAGCTCCTCGACTCGATCTACCTTTCCCCCTCCGGCCTGTTTGAACGGCAGCCTGGTACGGATCAGAAATTCGGAGCCCGAAAGCGACGCCCCTGCCCCCCGTGCACTGGCCACGGCCCACACACGCCACCACGGTCCACGGGCCCGTACCAGCAGCACAGCGCGGTCCTGCCTGCCACACGCCCAAAGCGCCCGCGAACGGTAAAGGTCGTGGCGGGGTCCACAGCCAGCGTCCCGGCGCGGGGCGCCCACGGGATTGCCGGGCCCACGCCTCCCGCGCGCGGACGAATAAAGCGGATTGGACTCCGTGCTGGGGTCCGGTCCCGATCCCGACCCAGCGACGCAGCCGCTGCTCGCCTGCTCCTGATAAGAACTCATCAGAAATAAAATAAAATAAATTAAAATCCGCCGGAAGAAAAAAAAAACCCCGAAAATTCTCCCCGTCTCTCTCGCTCGCTCTCTGTGTGTCTGTGGGAGGGCGACGCAGGCAGGCGACGCGACTCCACTTCGTTTCGTTCTCAGGCGGCCCCGGCTGCTGCTGCTGCTGCTCGCCGCCCTGCTCCAGGTACGCTCGAGGGCCGAAAAAACCCTCGTCTCCCTCCCGCCTCGCCTGCTCGAGATTGTTCGTGCTTCTGCTCCGGGTCGGGGTTGCTGTCGTCGTCGAGCTGGGTGCACCGCGTGTGAGCGGGCAGAGGAAGCTCAGCTTGGGGTTTCTAGGGTTTTTGTGACGAGCGCATGGGAGCCGTCTCTCCTCTGCTCGGGTAGAGTACAGCTGCCAGGCGTGGTTCTCTGAGTTCAGGGGAGGGCTTCTGGGCTTTCGGTAGAGCTGGGTGCCGCCCAAATCCGGCAATTTTCGGCCCGAATTGCTTAGGGTTTGGATGCGGAAGCCGGGGTCCTTGGCATCGTGCTGCTGCGGTTCCTTGGTCCGTGTCCTGTGATTGTGTGGTTCCGTGTGCAATTGCCTGCTGGCTTCGCTGAAATTTGGGGTTCCTGCAACGAATTGGGCTTACCCTGTCAGTTAGCCCTTCCGGTGATGCGTGCAATTTGATTTCTTCCGCCGTAGTTTTCATGTGAGCCTAGGCTTTTTAGCATTCCTTTTATTCTAGCTAGGACCATGATGTGGTGCTTTTATTCCTCCATTTTGCCGCCTTGCTTTGTATTTGAAAGAATTGTACCGCAGAGTTTAGATCTTCGGAACAATACCGACATAGCAAGCGCCGCAGCATGCCACTGTTTCCTTCCTTTTGTCAGATTTGTATTCCCCAGCGGGTCCTGTACCTCATGTTTCCTCACTAGGGTTACCATCTTAACACAGTTATTAGAGAAATAAGGGTCGGCTTGGTTGCCCGAGGCCAACCCAGCGCCTGCGATGGAGGAAAAGGCTGTCGCAACCGCTGCTGATGTTGCTGCTCCTGATACTGATAACAAGGATAATGCCAAGGAAGAGGCTAGCGAGAGCAAGGAGGCAGTAGCGAGTCAGGATGCTGAAGAGCAGAACAAAGGCTTGGAAAATGGTGCTGAGGGCGAGTCAGGTGGAGATGTCAAGATGGCAGAGGCTGAGACCGCAGAGGAAGGCGATGGTGATGCTGGTGTGGCAAAGCAGGTGGATTCTGGAGAAGTCGAAACGGATGCAGATACAAAGGAAGATGCCAATGCCAAGACAGGGGAAGGTGAGGATGTCAAGATGACTGAGGCTGACGCAGGAAGTACAGAGGTCAAAGATAAAGAAGAGAAGGAAGATGAAGTTGAGAACACAAATGCTGAGCAAGAGGAAAACAAAGGAAAAGAAACGGATGCCGATGAGAAGCAAGAAGAAGAGGAAGCAGAAGAAAAGGGTTCTGCTGATAAGAAAGATGAAGATGAAGCTGAAGGTGAAGGTGAAGGTGACAAGAAGATGGAAGAGAATAAGAAGACTCCGAAGAACAAGAAAGCAAGGAGTGCCAGGGATAGAAGCCAGGGAAAGGATAAGAAACAGGATGGATCCAAATCCAGGGAAGCAAAAAGTTTGCTGAACACCCCAAGCCCATATGGTACAGATCGCCCTCAACGTGAGAGGAAAACAGTGGAGAGGTTGGTTGAGGTGATTGAGAAAGAGCCAAACAGGAATTTCGTGGTTGAGAAGGTTTGTTGCTTGCATTTCGTTTTGTTCCATTTTTTCATTTCGGCATGTAATAGTGTGTCTGACATTCTTTTTTATCACAGGGACGAGGGACTCCTCTGAAGGATATACCGAGTGGTATGTGCCTCTTTTCATTCTGTTTACTGTGTGCTTCTCTCTGTCTCTGAGGCAGCATAGTCGCTCTCTTCTGTCTTAAACCTTAACGATGACCAATGTTTTCAGGTCGTCCGATTAATCGCGATTAGTCGTCCTGGTCGGTCCCCGGTATTCGATTAGGAGGACCGACTCGATTAGCTCGATCAGAAAGCTGGTCGTCCGATTAGTCGACGACTAATCGCGATTAGTCGTCCGACTAGG